CTCCTATATCAGTATTAATGTTCCTGGATTGGAGGATGGCACTGCGGTTATATAAGAGAAATTTTTTTCTTAGAAAACATTTACATAAGCACTTAGGGGTGAAGGGTTTATGATGTCTGCAACTTTTATTTAACTTCTGTGAATCTCAGTTTCCTCATCTGTAAAAGAAATATAATAATGATGTCTATCTGCAGGTTTGTTATAGAAAGTTTACAGCACAGTCATGTAGAATTTAGTGTAGAGTAAGTGTCAGATTAGATTAGCACACAGAAATGCCTGTCATATAATCCTGTTGATTGCCAGATTAAACTTGGCTCTCAATTTCCTTGCAACTAAAATCAAAAGGGAAACAAAAGGTCATAGTGCTCTTAAGATAGAAATAAAACCATGTGTTAATGAAAATCAAAGCTCTGCTCCCTTCTCGCCCTCCCCTGCCCCACCAGCTGAGAGAAGTTTCTCCTGTTGGTTCTCAGTAGGAGACTCAGGAAGCACGTAAGGGAGAAGACCTCCATGAAAGCTATAAGAAGGAGGAGCTACTGCACCTGCTTCACACGGACACCCCTCCGTGCAAACTAAGGCCAAAGAAACTTTGCAAGAGACTATCGTTTTGGAGCCCTTTGAAAGTCTAAAATGATGAAAGGATAAAACTTACAATACTCAGAGCAGGGTTTCTTAACCTGAGGTGTCAGAATAGCTGTGAAATCCCTAAATTGTGAAAGTACTTAGTGCAGAGTAAGTAATTTACAAGTGTCTAGAGAAATAGCCTTCAAGGGAAGATCTTTTTCCAGGCAGAATGTGGAGACAGGCAAGCAAATCAGCTGAGGTTTAAGCCTCAGGCCTCAAGTGTGGGCCCAAAATACAGAAGTTCCCAGCAAATCTAGTCTCCTTACTGTGGCTCCGGGCTCAACGGGGGGCACAGATACCTACAAGTCAGGGCCAGAAGGGTTATTGGATTATCAGTCTGTTCCAAGATGGCAGCGTCAAGGAGGGAAGACGTATCAGATGGAAAATGCATCATCAGTGAGCCAGGCCCATCAAGATGCCTTTCCTGACTGTACATCCAAATGGAACCAAATACTTTGAAAGCAAAACCTAAGTGGGGGGAACTGATGAAAATGCCTATAAAAAATTCCTTATCATCATCCCTCCAACAGAGAATGGGACAACCAATGGAAGAGGTACAATAAAGAGCATTTCAGGCAGAGACAAGTATCCTAATGCATAGGTGAACGCCTACTCTATGTCCAAGTTGGTTTTTTCAGTTATATTACTATGTATATTTCACTTCACTTTCAATTGGTGAGCTTGGAGGACCTACACAGTCCTATTTGGCAAAGGATACTTTCGAGCTGGTATTCACTTTTAAATGCCTTTGATGAGGGTGATGATATGAAATACGACTTTTTCCTTCCTTTCATTATCACCCCTTCTAAGTGGTTGTGTAGTGGAATGTGCAAGGATTTCTTATTTATTTTTAAAAGTTATCTAGTTTTTGATGGTACATATTTTTTCTTCCATTTTTTAATTGTGGTAAAATATATATAACATAAGGACCACC